CTTCGGGACGTGATTGTCTCCTGCCTTTGTGCCGGGTTAAGTGTGCGGGGAGGCAGGGCTTGCATAAACACCCACGGGCGGAAGCTGGGAAGGTCAAAATCACCCCCTATCTCCAGCGATGGGCATGTGTGTGCCTGCACCCGCTCTCAGCCAGCCCGGCGGTTACAATCAGCCCCCAAAGAGCCCCCGTCCACCGACGGGCTGGTGCCGGCCACGCAGGACTGCCTTGAACAGGTCTCCTCTTAAAGCCCTCGCTCCATCTTCTCAAAGAAACCCTCCCCTCGCTGAGTAAGCGGGATAGAGAGAGGGCGAAAAGGGAGGGCAGCTGGTAGCCGAGGGTCAGAGGAGCATCACAATCAAACGTACGGCTCCCCAGGCACTCTGGTAATTCGGCACTTGGCCCCTCCAAAGAGGGCTCTTGCCCTCCCTCCCCCAGAGCCGCTCCTCGGTTCAGTGACGGACGGATGCCTCCATTTCAGATCGCGCATCCGCAAGCAAAGAAAGGCTGATGGTGAAGGCAAAGCTCAGGCGGTGGGGAGCTCCAGGTCCGAACCCCGCTTGCTCACAGACAAGCTCCACGGCCCGCCTTTGCCCTGCCCTCAGCTCGGCCGGAGGGGACCTCACCACTCCCCAAAGCCACCCCGGCAGCCACCGCTAGCATCCGCGCTGGGGTACTCCGGCAACACAACAGCACCGCACCGAGACGACACGAGAGTTGTAAGCACCGCACTCCCAGGTTTGTCACAGCCGTCCCCTGCGACGCTAAGGTGGCTGCAGAAAGGTGGCACCAGGTTTAGAAGCCACACCAGAACATGAAGGTGCTGGTAGGTGCCGCAGCCAGAGTCCAGACTGAGCCGCTTGCTCCCAGCAAAGATATTTTTAGGAGGGCTCCCTCCACACCGAGTTCAATCCCTCCGGAGCACAGCCAGGGAAGTGCAGGGAAGCGCTCGGTTCTGGCGGGGAGAAGAGCCACCAGAGCTTAGGAGCGAAGCAGTGTGCCAGTCCCTGGGCTGGCGGCTTGGCCACCCCGGGAACCGGCTGCTT